TACCGTCCGCCCGATCCGCGAATTCGGCGGTTGTAACATAGTTTCCCCGTACCGTGGCCCATCACATATTGAAGCTTACATTCAATGTCCCGCCAGCCCCACTGAACGCCCCATCCCTGAATGAAGGTTTACGGCCTTACGGCCGGTGCCGCCGACCCTGAACGACGACGACGACGACCCAGGCCCTGGGACCGTCAAGAAACGGCTTGACGACCCAAACCCCGGAGGCAGCAGGGAGGAGTAGGAGGCGGAGGAGGAGGAGGAGGAGGGGGAGGAGGAGGAGGAGGAGGAGGAGGAGGAGGAGGAGGAGGAGGAGGAGGAGGAGGAGGAGGAGGAGGGAGGAGGAGGAGGAGGAGGAGGAAGAGGATTCGGAGTAGGAGTAAGAGGAGGAAGAGGAGGAGGAGGAGGAGGAGGAGAGGAGGAGGAGGAGGAGGAGGAGGAGGAGGAGAGGAGGAGGAGGAGGAGGAGGAGGAGAAGGAGGAAGAGGAATTGGAGGAGGAGATCCCGGACACCCCGGACACCCCGGACACCCCGGACAAATTGGACACCCAGGACACCCCGGACACCCAGGACACGCCGGACACGCCAGACACCCCGGACACCCCGGACACCCCGGACACCCCGGACACCCCGGACACCCCGGACACCCCGGACACCCCGGACACCCCGGACAACCCGGACACCCCGGACTTCCCGGACACCCCGGACATTCCGGACACGTCCCCCGGACACCCCGGACACCCCGGACACCCCGGACACACCGGACACCCCGGACACCCCGGACACGCCGGATACCCCGGACACCCCGGACACCCTGGACACCCCGGACACATCCCCCGGACACCCCGGACATCCCGGACACCGGACCCACAGAGGACTATAGTCCAAAATATCAGCTGACACGCCCTTCAGTTTAGATAGCTGCGAGTTGATCCACGCATCGCCCAGAATCTCGAACACCACCCTCCCACACGTTACGTTGACAGTCGGTCTGGCGGTCTGGCACGTCTATACTTATGCAGCACGCTGTTGCTGGCAGAGGTTGGCCCAGCTGGTACCGGCTAGCAATGATAATACAAAACGTATTGCCAACATTTCTTGTGTTGCTGAAGGGCCGAAAACGGTCAGCAGTAAGGTTGCCGTATGAGTGCGTCATGGGGCGTGAGTAATCAACGCGGCGTAATACTGACATGCGCGCCTGAGCGTGTAGTTATAGTGTTTGTATCTGCGCAGTGCACATTGGCTGATATCGGTAACGCCAGATTGCTAGCCCCAGAGTGTGCCTTCAGCGTGCACGCTCACGGGTGGCATGAGGTCGCAAGGACAAGGGGCGGTTCATGCACAGAGACTTGTGAGGGTTTAGAGCAAGAGGCGTCAAATTGCTATAACTAGTTTGGCAGCTCGAGTCGCGGGTCATCTACCTTCCTTCTAAATTCACATCCACTAAGTCGCAACCCGCGCCCCCCAGTATCAAGGCTGGCCAAGTCGGTCTTGCTGGCCTAGTTTGGCAATGTGAAGCAAGCCAGTTTCTGTTGTGTAGAGTACCTGGCACACTTATCTTTGTTTGCTGAATGCGTCGGAACATAACTGAACGAACGCTGAGTGCAGCAATTATTGGGCTGGTATGCCCATTGGCTACTTGCTTGAAGCTTAGCTCTGGCGGTCAAGACGCTCGCGGCAGTCGACGCGCACGTCCTCGCCTTCCTCCATGTTTGCACGCATCCCGCCATCCCCGTGTCAAAGCTGGCCATGTCAGACTGGTTGGCCTTGCGTGGCAATGCAAAGCAAGCGGTGTACTGATATGTAGACTGACTGGCACAGACGGTACTGGTTGGTCGAAGCCTTTCACTAAGGTCTAGAGCGGCTATATAGGCACGCTGCTTGCCTCCGTAGGAACATGGCCCGCCCGGTCGGTATTGGTTGGCCTTAGGCATTCAAAGTATTGTTTAGCGCCCGGTGGCTGTCAAGACATGCCTGCCGCAGGGGCCAATTTCCCAGCGCCCGGGGGGCCCGATATGTTTGTTTCCCGCCCGCCCCAAAGAATCCCAATTCCCATTCCCTCTTGCAGCGGCGTGTCAGGCCCAACATCTCGCTCAGCAGCGCCAGGGCCAGCTGCCACTGTCGCGTCCCGCCCATTTCGCACGCGCTGATCGGGGCTTTGTAGGACTTCATTGATGGTGGGCTCCAGCTTCTCTCCCAACATCTTGCTCAGCAACGCCAGGGCCGGCGGCCCCCGTCGCTGTCCGTCTTTTCCGCATGCGCGCCTCGGGATATTGTAGTTTTCAGGTCTTGGCCGCGTGGCCGACGGTGTCTCCCTGATGGTGGGGTCCAGCTTCGCTGCCAACATCTCGCTTCGCAGCGCCAGGGCCAGCTGTCACTGTCGCTCCCCGTCTTTCTCGTGCGTGATAATCGGGGCGATGTAGAAAGCGCTGGTGGGCGTGACCTTCATTTCCAACATCTCGCAAAGCAGCGCCTGGGCTGGCTGCTGTTCGCGCCCGTCCTTCTCGCGCAGGCTGACTGGGGTGCCGCGGCAGATGATGTCGATGACGGGTTCAAGCTTCACCATCCACATTTCGCTGAGCAGCGACGGTGCTGTTTTTCTTCTGCTCTGGCCCTCGCTCACGCGCGACAGCCTTCTCAGTCGCCCCCCGTGACAACCGCCGACCCGCCCGAAGGGTTCGCCGCTCTCCAGGAGCCCGACGACATGTGGATGCTGGATTCCGTCATGCTGGCGCCCGCTGCGCTGATCATGGTGATGCTGCTCTAGTCCGTCATCCTGGCCACATCCGTGCTGCCGCAGTCCGTCGAGCTACTCTCGATGTCGCTGCCAGAGTTCGTCCTGCCGTTCGCTTCCATGCTGTTGGGGTCCTGAGTGCTGCCGCTTGTCGTGCTGCGTGCTGCTGAGAACCGTCGTCTTGATCACGACGGTGCTGTTGAGGTCCGTACTGCTATTCGCAGTCGTTCTGCTGGGGGCCGTCGCGCTGCTCGCGTCGGAGTCCGTCATGCTGCCCTCCACCGTGCTGCTGGAGGCCTCAGTGATGTTCGCGACGGTGCCGCTGGAGTCTGTCGTGCGGCTCACGGTCGTGCCGCTACACTCCGTCGCGGTGCTCGCAATGGCGTGTCTGGAGTCTGGAATGCTGTCCACGGTCGTGTTCGTCGCGCTCGTGCGACTGGAATTCGTCGCGCCGTTCATGGCCGCGCTGCTGGAGGCCGTTTTTCTGCCCGCGGTGCTGCTGCTGAGGCGCGACGTGATGCTCGCTGTCCTGCTGCTGCCGCCCGTCGTGCCGTCCGGGCCCATCAAGCTGTTCGCGGTCGCGCTGCTGGAATTCGTCTGGCTGCTCGCGACGGGGTCGCTGGAGCCATCCGTTGCGCTGCCCGCGGGCATGCCGCCGGGGCTCGTTGCGCTGCTCTCGGGGCCGTTTGAGTCCGTCAAGCATAGTGCTCCCTGTCGCGTTGCTGGAGTTCCTCGCGCTGCTCATGATGGCATCGTTGAAGTCTGTTATGGCGATCATGGTCGCGCTGCTGCATGCCGCGATTGGCCAGCGCAGGGTGGCATTGCTAGCGCGTTGCCCACGACTGCGCCGCTGAGCGGCGACATGTCTCGGCGTGTTTCTGGGCAGAGCGTGGTTGCTGGGAGACTGCTCGCCCAGAAAGCCTTCTGGAGTCCTGTGCGGCTCTGGCCCTCGGACCCCAGTCCAAATACAACTGGATCCCAGCTCGAGTTTTTGTTGTGGCGGAAAATAGCCCCGTCCTCTATGTATGTTTTGCCGTTGTTGTTTTGGCAAACAAGCTTTCTGGCTGAGGCAAGGGTTTGAGCCGCGTCGGTTGGCTATTACTGTTTGCATGGGGGCTTGCCTCGGGGCAGCCTCGCGGCGGAGATGGGCACGGCTCGCGTGGAATGCATTCCTCGTCGTGTGGCTGCCGCGGGGGGGGGAAAAGACGTTCGAGCATTGTTGGTGTGGCTTTGTACTAGTCTAGCCCCCGCCCGAGACTCGTGGACGAAGGACACATCCGTATCTGAGCTCTCGCGGACCGGGCCCCTGGGCCGCGAACCCGCGGCTACGTGGCGTTTTTTCGCCGCTCGCGAGGGACGGTTGCTGGAGCGGGCTCCAGACTCTCTGGACCACGTGGGCCTCCTGGGCATCCGCCCCCGTGGTCGGGACTTGCTCGTCTTGGCCCGCCCCGCCTGGCTTGGCAGTCCGAGTTGGGGGCCCCACGCCGACCTGCCGTCCGTCGCCTCTCTTTCCAGTCCAATCTCAGCACCTTTCCCGTCGCAACTCATGGGGGGCCTTGTGTGCCCTCGCAAGTCCTCCTCGTGCGTGCATTCGCGTCGATCAGCGTCTGGTAATCGATGGGCCAGCGCCGATCTAGCGCCGAGTAACGCCCATTAGCTATGACTCGCAAGAGCCAGCAAGATGGTATGGGGGGCCCCCGTGAGTGGACGCAGAAGTCCCTCGGTCCTTCGCCTCCCGGCCCAGTCCAATTTCCCGACTCCCCGACTCTCCGACTCCCCGTCTCACCGACTCCCCGACCGGCCGACTCCCCGACTCCCCGTCTCCCCGACCCCCCCGACTCCCCAACTGACCGACTCCCGACCCCCGGATTCCCCGACTCTCCGACTTCCCGACTCCCCGACTCCCCGACTGGCCGACTCCCCGACTCTCCGACTTCCCGACTTCCCGACTCCCCGACTGGCCGACTTCCCGACTTCCCGACTCCCCGACCCCCCAACTCCCCAACTGACCGACTCCCGATTCCCCGACTCCCCGACTCTCCGACTCCGGACTCCCCGACTCCCCGACTGGCCGTCTCCTCGACTCCACGACTCCCCGATTCCCCGACTCCACGACTGGCCGTCTCCCCGACTCTACGGTTCCCCGACCCCTCGATTCCCCGACTTTCTCATTTTCTGCATCTGAGACATGCGCTGCAGCGGCGCACTAGAAAGTCCCTGCTCTCTCTCTCTCTCTCTCTCTCTCCTGGCGTGCCCGCCCCGCCAGGAGACCTGTTGAGCAGGGTGGTCACTAACAGGACCGCGGGCCTGGCCACCCGAGGCGAGGCCGCCAGTGTCGCGCGGAGGAGAAGGTACCCATACCGCGAGTTACCTTTGCTTGAGGAGGAGGGGGAGGAGGCGGAGGAGGAGAAGCAGGAGGAGGAGGAGGAGGCCTCCTGGGAGGTTCTCGTCGCCACCGCTGGATTCGTCTCGAAATTCTGGTCAGAACGCACTGGGAGAGGTCCCAGTGGTATCGGTACTTTCTGGTTTCCCCAGGACTCGCCCCCCCGATGCGAGGGCGCCAGATTCGCGCCGAGGCGACCAGCTCATCCGGCCTCGAAGTTGCACACATGGTCGCAGGGCAGCGGGTACCAGTGGGCACAGACAGCCTGATGCTTCCACAGAAGGGGCACGAGGGAGGATGAGGAGGGAGGTGTGCCGGGTGCAGCTGAAGGTGTCCCTGGCCCAGTGTGCAGGATGTCCGAGAAGGCCCCGACGGCCTCCGGAGCACCCCTCGCGAGGCCGAGAGGGCCTCGGGAGCGTCAAACTGGCGGGGAAAGTTGGGGGGCCTCGTTCTTGGCCCAGGAGCACCCTCTGCAACCCCCCTGGAGTAGGGGATGCGGGAGCGAGGCAGGAATATAGCTGCAGCTAACGAAGAGGTGGGCCCTCCAGCTCTGCTCGTTCAGAGCATGCGGCTCTCGAGCAGGCGAGGTTGCGAGGATCCGGAGGCCACGTGCTGCGAGGCTAGGGTGAGGAGGAGGAGTAGGAGGGGGGGCCCTCTCGGGTGAGGAGGAGGAGGAGGAGGAATAGGAAGAGGAGGAGATGGAGGAGGAGGAGGACGAGGGTTTCTGCTTCTCCTGCACTCATTACCCATATTTTCTGCGCGTGCCTACTTCCTAATGTGCCCAAGTCGGTCTCCTGCCTTTGGGGGTCGCTGGAACGCCGCAGCCTCTCTGCGGATGCTTGCCTGACACAGATGGACGGGTAGGATGTCGCGGCCCTGGTCACCCGCAGCGGGCGCGGAGATAGCGGTGCGCCGCACTCCGGTCCTTGGGCCGCAGAGTTGCCCCTCGCTACGGGTTTGACCGCGATCTCGAGGGTGACATCGCGCGTCGGGCGCGGAGATAGCGGTGCGCCGCGCTACGCTCCCTGAGCCGCAGATGTACCCCTCTCCACGGGTTGGACCGCGATCTCGAGGGTGACATCGGGCGTCGTGAGTCTCGCAGCGTGGAGCTTAGAGAAGGGCGCCCAGGCGTACAAGGATGAGTGCGGTTCGTTGAGGTCCCAACGGTTTCTCTTGTGCATCGACTCTGCGCTGGAGCGTCTACGGTTTGCTCCATGCTTCTTCGGAGGTAGGGACGAACATGGAGACGAGTGGGAGCGGCATGATGGGCAGCAGCAGCTGCAGGTCCGAGGAGGAGGAGGAGGAGCAGGAAGGGGAGGATCGTGGAAACAGCAGGGGGGGAGCCGAGAGGGAGGAAGGGGCGGCGGCGGAGGAGGATCGTATCGGATCGGCCATCCACGGCAGCAGGGTGCACGACCCTGACAGCCCGGGGGGGATGAGGAGGAGAAGGAGGAAGCAGCAGGAGGAAACAGGAGGAGGAGGAGGAGGGGGAGGAATAGGAGGAGAAGGAGGAGGAGGAGGAGCAGTTCTGGCTTCCTCACCCCCTGGTGCAAGTTGGGGGGTCGAGATGAGCCCGCCTGCCGGGCGCCCTGGGCTGTGGATATACACGTAGCCTCGCCGCGTCTCCGTCTCCTCCGTCTCCTCCTCCTCCTCCTCCTCCTCCTCCTCCTCCTCCTCCTCCTCCTCCCCCTCGTCCTCAGAAGGCCTCCTCCTCCTCCTCTTCGGAAGGGTGACACAGGGGGCCGAGGGCCCCTGATCTAGAGACGCGCGGGCACCTCCCGAGGGCACAGTGCCACCCACAGGCTGCGCAATGAGACCTGGCCGGCGGGCCAGCAGCAGGCGCGGACACCTCCGTGAGGCACAGTGCCGCCACGCCCTGCTGTTGAAGGTGTGGAGCGGGTGCGGTGCACGTCCCGCAGGTGCAGTGCACCCTGTACATCGGGAGGGGCGGAGTGGTCGACCGAGGCGGCCTGCCACCCTGCCCGAGCAGAGCAGACGACGAGCCAGCTCCAGGCAGACCGCGATGACAAGGAAACATGCAGAGGAACACCAGACACGCACGAGGCACCAGAGGCCACCAACAATACAAGCGGAAAACTGCAAGACATACGTGAGGTTCAAGAGGCCATCGACAGACAAGCGGTAGACGTTCGGCCTCGGCGCTAATATAGAGGGGGCGGAGAAGGAAGGAGGAGGAAGGAGGAGGAGGATCACCAGAGAAAAGCCAACATGCATCAAAGAGCTGCAGTACACCCTCCCGTCCAAAGTCCCTTCATCATAATGGCCCACAAGCCTTCCATTCCTCTTTCAGGACACTCTCCGTTGAACGACCAGCGCCGCATGGGCCTGCGATGCAGGCAAGAGCCCCGTTGCGACAAAGAACTAACTGCCTTGCACCCTTCCAGCGAGTCATACGGCACGCGCAAGGATATGGCCATACAGTTTTCCAGCTAGCTTTCCGCTCGAAAAAATGAATGTCCCATCTATTAATCATTGCACGGTGTGTCGCTCAACGCCGTGAGTGTCGAGGACGTTTCAATCGCAAACCCATTTTGTGAATGCGCCGCCCTCCAAGCACGCAGTTCCTGAGCTTGTTCAAGTTTGTTGTTTTCTGCGAAGTACACTAGAAGTTCCAAGTTTGAAAAGGGTCCATCCTTCATCCGTACAGCAGTTGCATCTGTTCAAGTGCTTGGCCTGTAATCTCACAGGTCCCAAACGAAAACCAAATGTTGAGAAGAGGGTCCGCCTACAATCTTCGCAAGTGCTGCCATCGGTCTTGGTGGCGCTCGCGCGTGAGCCAAGATCGAACAGGATCCGTCCTCCATCCTTGACATTGGTGGAGACTCTTGGTTCAATTTTATTCCAGTGATTTTCAATTGAATTCCACATAACTGCCTTGTCTGTTCCTTTCTTGCCTCTCCTGCCCTTCCCCCCCTCCTGCTCGCGCACTGAATTTCGAGGTTGTGATTGCCATTTCCGGGTCCTTTTCAGAGGGCCAGTGCGCTTCGCAGCGCGCCCGTCGCCCAGCACTCGGCCGCCTTCGGGCGATGACGGTCGTTCGTTCGTTCGTTCTTGGGCGGCGCTGAGGCGAGAGCCCGGTTTAGACAAAGGGAACGCCCTCCATGCGTGAAGCTGCTGTGAAGTGTCATTGCGATTGTGCGCGGCGCAAGGAGGCGTGTTCTCCTTTCTGGAAACGACCCCCCTCCTTCCATGAAGCTGCTGCAACGCTGCAAGACAGACTCACTCCATCGGTGAGACTTGTGCGATGTTAGAGTTTCAGGGTCAGCAGTGGTCGCGAATCTCCGGCGAAGTACCTGGACCGCCCTGCCGAAACGCTTGGTGGAGGGACAAGGGGGAGCTCTTCAGAATAATGGGGGAAGAGGTGGAAGAGGAGGAGGAGGAGGAGGATGGAAAAGGGGGAGGAGGAGGAGGAGGAGGAGGAGGAGGAGGGGAGGAGGAGGAGGAGGAGGAGGAGGAGGAGGAGGAGGAGGAGGAGGAGGAGGCGGGGTATCGGGGTCAGAAGCGCTCGCCTGACGGAGGCGGGGGCCGTCGGGCCTTCGGGGCGAAAAGCTCCCGCGCCTGGGGATGGCCGCCAACGCGCGGTCCCCTTCCCCAGGGGGTTGCCTGGAGCGCAGCCCTCCGTCCAGGCCAGGGGTCTCCCCCTGGGTTCCCTGACCTTGGGGTCGTGCCAGGCTGCCCGTCCTCCCCGTCGTCTGTCGTGTTGTGGGGGGCCCTTGTGGGGGGGTTGCGTGGGTTTGGCGCTGGTCTGGCCCCTGCCCGTTCTGTCAGGATTGGCCCGTGTTTGGGCCGCCCGTGTTTGGGTTCCGGCTGGCTTCCGGCCTGCTGGCAGAACAGGGCGGGGGAGTTGGCTAGCTATCCCCATGCCGCCCGCTCAGAAGGGCCCGCCTCGCGCTGTGAATGCCCTGCGGCCACGCCGCGGCGGCGCGCGCGGCGCGCTGGTTTCGGCGGCCCCGATTCTGGGACAATCCGCTGCAGTTCCGGACCGCGGACCGAGGAGGAGGGGGAGGAGGAGGAGAGGGAGGAACAGCAGGAGGAGGAGGAGGAGGAGGAGGAAAAGGATGGAGGAGGACGGATGAGGAAGAGGAGGAGGATGAGGAGGAGGAGGAGGAAGGAGGAGAGGAGGAGGAGGAGGAGGAGGAGGAAGAAGAGGAGGAGGAGGAGGAGAGGAGGAGGAGGAGGAGGAGGAGGAGGAGGAGGAGGAGGAGGAGGAGGAGGAAGAGGAGGAGTTGGAGGAGGAGGAGGAGGAGGAGGAGGACGAGGACGAGGACGAAGACGAGAAGGAGGAGGAGGAAGAGGAGGAGGAGGAGGAGGAGGAGGAGGAGGAGGAGGAGGGGGAGGAGGCGGCGGAGGCGGCGGAGTAGGTAGAGGAGAGGAAGAGGAGGAGGAGGAGGATAAGGAGGAGGAGGAGGAGGAGGAGGAAAAGGGGGAGGAGGAGGAGGAGGAGGAGGAGGAGGAGGAGGAGGAGGAGCAGGAGGATGGGGGGGCAGGGTCGAGGGTCCAACTCCGATCCCACCCCCGAAGCTGATGCTGGCGTTCCTCCCAGCTGATGCTCCTCCTCGCCCTTCTCTTGCAGTGGGAGCGCGGATGACCTTAGGCCCGCTCTTTCCCCCTCACCTGGAACGGCAGCTGCGTGAGCGGGACGGCGGGAGATGATGATCACATTGCTTGACTGCGAGTGAGCGTGCTGGGTGGGGAGGGTTTTGGACTGGGGAGAAAGAAGGGCTGGGGGGGATGCGGGGAGGACGAGGGAGGACGAAGAAGATGAGGAAGACGAGGAGGAGATGGAGGAGGTTGAAGGATGAGGGAGGGAGATGAAGGAGGAAGAGGAAGGGGGAGAAGGAGGAGGAGGAGGCCACTTCTCCTCCCACTTGTCCCCGCCACTGTTCGTTTACTGTGCTTTTCCGTTTGCATGGTCTGTTTGCCACATGTGCAGAGGTTTGCACCACGAGCGAGGTGATCCTTTGATTGGGAAAGGCCCGTCGAGCTGCTGCCCACGGCCTCCTCGTGGCCTCGAGGTCGCTGCCAACATCCCCATCCCTTTTTCCCTTTCTCGCCTCTGGTCACTGGTCTGATCCGCTCGAGGTGCCAGCGCTGCGGGGCGGAACGTGGCGGCGCGGGAGGCGTGGCGAGCTTGCGCGAACGCTGGCGCCAAGGGCGGCGTTGGCCGGCGTAATCTGCAGCGGGGCTGCGCGGTGCCACGTGATGTATTGAGGTGCCGGATGGGCACGGGCCTCTGGACACTGGCAGGTCTGTTACCCCAATCGGAGCCGCCTCCGATCCGATTTTATTCGGCTACGCGCACAGGGGGGCATGGGGGAAGGGGGAAGGCTTGTTAGAAGCATCCCTGCCTCTGAGAAGGCGCGGGCCTCGTGTGTAGATGTAGGGCTGGCGCCTTCTAAGAAGCAGCCTCCTTCTAAGAAGCCTGCCCCCCTCCCCTTGCCCCCCTCTGCGCGCCGCCAATTGATGCTATTCAATTCGCCGCCTCTGCCTGCGATTCGGGCTCGGTGCGATTTGGCTCGGTTCACCAGCATCGGCTGGGCCAGCCAGAGCCGGGCGCGACGACTCGATTCGGTTCCGGACGATTCGCCGTCGATCCCCGTCACCTGTCCGATCCGATTTCCCGATTCGATGCAGCTTGGGCTTCGATGCCCCGAAGCCCGAAACCCAAAGGATAAACGGGGATCTGACGGACGCGGGCTTCACGCGCTTCAGCCAGGACATGGGCCTGCACCCCCGCCGGGGGCCACTTGACACCTCCCTCGCCCTTCTCTACAACCAAGGAGGAGGAGGAAGAAGGGGAGGAGGAGAAGGAAGGGGATGATGATGATGATGATGCTGCTGCTGCTGATGATGATGATGATGATGATGATGATGATGATGATGATGATGATGAGGATGATGATGATGGTGATGATGGTGACGATGATGCTGCTGATGCTGATGCTGATGCTGATGCTGATG